ACATTTTACTCTAAAAAAACGTTTTTTTTTTTTTTTTCATTTTGTATCCCAGGTGAAAAAATTAACGTTACTAACGTTACTAATGTTACTAACGTTAGTACCTATAAAAAAATTAAGAGTTTCTAAAACATATTTTCACAGAAACTTTGCCACTACTTTCCCATTACCACTTTCACTTCCACTTAAACTTTTTATAATTTTCATTCCCATTTCTACTTCTACTTTTTCTCATTCGCACTTCCATTCTCACTTCTACTCTTTATAATTCTCATTCCTACTTCACTTCCACTTTTTCTAATTCTCCTTTCCACTTTCACTTCCACTTCCACTTGTTCCAATTTTCATTCCCATTTCATCTTCCACTTTTTTATTTTCATTACAACTTTTTTATATTTTCACTCCCATTTCCATTCCTATTTTTTAAATTTCCATTACCACTTTCACTTTTTCTAATTCCCATCCATTGTAATTAAAAAAAGTGGAAATGGTTGTGTAAATGGAAACTAGAAAGAGTTTTAGTCGAAATGGCAACAGCTAATGAAAATTAGAAGTGGAAAAAATGGGAGTAGAAGTGGGAATGAAAATTAGAAAAAGGGAAATAGGAATAAAAATTAGAAAAAATGGAAGTGGAAGTGGTAATGAAAATAAAAAAGTGAAAATGGGAATGAAAATTAGAAAAAGTGAAAATGTAAGTGAAAGTGGAAATGAGAATTAGAAAGAGAGGAAGTGGGAATGGAAGTGCGAATGAGAATTAGAAAAAGTGAAAGTGAAAACGGTAATGAAAATAAAAAAGTGGAAGTGAAAATGGGAATGAGAATTAGAAAAAGTGAAAGTGGAAACGGTAATGAAAATAAAAAAATTGGAAGTGATAATATAGGAATGAAAATTATAAAAAGTGCGGGTAAGAACATTAAATACTTCCTGGTGGTCGATTTTCGACAAGTTTCTGCAAAAATACAATTTAGAAACACTTTCTTAATTTTTTTATAGGTACTAACGTTAGTAACATTAGTAACGTTAGTAATATTAGTAACGTTAGTAATGTTAATTTTTCTACCTGGGATAGACTTGAAAAAAAGAAAATTCAAATAATCTTGTATACACTATTATCAAATAGCTATATTTATTTGGAATTAAGTAAATTTTATTCTTAATTAAATAAACTTCGATTAATAATATTTCTCCGTATTTGAAACAAATATCATTTATAGTTGACTCAAATAATAATTATATTATTTCTATTGATAAATCGTTTATTTATTTGATACTAGAGCCAATCGATTATTTGAATTAAGTAAATTTTTTTTTTATACTTTCAATTTATTTTACATAATTTTTTATTCGATATTGAAAATAAAAAGAATTAGTTTTAAAAGCCTGTCAAATTTTTTGAATATCAATGAAATTCTCATATGGGAAAAATGTGACGTGTGGGACTTTAAAAAAAAAAAAAAAAAAAAATCACATTCGATTTGCGATGAAATTTTGACGTTTTTTTTCCCCCTAGTTTTCTTAATGGGGGAACACGCGGTCCACGTCAAATTCAAGTGTCTTGAAGTATATATGTATATATATTTGATGATGTTGGCGTAACGCATTACGCAGATGGTCGCCAAGCGGTTGTCTCATCTCTTGAACATAGGAGGTAGAAGTGTACAGCTCCCGAGATCTCATCGTGACGTTGAGTGCTGTTGGAAATGGGGTAGGGGTGGACTTGGGATAAGGCACTCGACGTATCGTGCCGTGCGGCGCACGACGTGCGCTCTTTACTTTTCGAAGTGCTTCAAAAAAAAAAAAAAAAAAAAAGGATGCAATATATATAATACTCAAGTGAGCGGACTCCCCCCCCCCACCTCCCATTGTTTAGTTATTCTGATGAGCCAGTGCATTTCAAATACTCTTCAACGGGCCATTATCCCCCCCCCCAAAAAAAAGCTTATATAAAGAATATATATACCCATAGTATATAGTCGTTTCTTTAAAGATCCGGCCTCTAATGCCCCGTAATCAAAACCTTCAATGCCTATACAAATTGTATCATAAACGTACTTATGTGCAAAAGAACAATGTCCCCTGCATTTACTCGAGGTAATTGTTTTTTTTTTGTTGGAATTTTTGACTAATTTGGGAAAAGAGAATTTTTCTTTTCTTCATTTCTCCGAATTTCTATTATTATTTGTAATAGAATTATTAAAACAAGTCGAATTTGACCAAAAGGAGAAAGTTTTCTTTTTTAATTTTGAGGAAAAGGAAAATTTTATTTATGAAAGAGATGAAAAATTGTGTATATGTATTTTTTGTGTACAATGGAAGAAAAGATATATATATATATATTCTTGAAGACTTGTACTTGACGAATGAGTCTTTTTTTCATCCCCTATGTCTAGATGACCCTTGGGGCATTCACCCTGGTTTTTTTTTTTTGCAATGCTTTCCTTTTAGTTTCGTTTTCTGAGGGTCAATTTTTTTTTCTCCTTTGGCCTCGCGGTGAATGCAATGGCACTTGTTTAATTTTTAACTGATGCATACATGATCATTTAAATTCAAGAATTTTTTTCCTTCTTACTTTTCTAAATTGAAACTATTTTTTTTTTTATAAATATATATATATATTTAAATTTTATTTTTTTCCACAAAAATATATAAACAAGTTGCAAAGAAATATTTCTCTTTTGTTATTGTAGAGAGGAATGAGAAGAAAGTTTTGCCGAGTGAAACAGGAGAAAAGAATAATTCTTTCTCAACAATAGAAGAGGGAGGACTTTTAATTTTTCATGACACAGTTATAATATTCAGACGAAAGTCGTCGTCGTCGTCGTTGTACGATGTAAAATAATCAAACGAAAGCGGTGACGGGACAAATAAAAAAGACAGTCCTTAATAAACTCTTTGGCTTTCATGCTTTCTTTCTTTCTGAAAAGAAAAAAACAGATAGGATCTGCAGCCTCCGAATGGGTTGAATGCCTCAACGATAGAATAGGTGCCGTTCTGGCGCCTTGGCTCTGCGCCCTGTGTCGAGTTCCTTGCCATTTTGTACCTTTTTTTCCCTTGCAAGTCTCTAACGTTATAATATATATATATATTCGTTGGGAAAGATTTTTCATGGAAAATAAAATAGGTCACTGACTATTTACCTTCGAGAACAGGCTGCAATTTATCATATATTAAAGGAACAATGCTAAATCAAAGACATTTTTATAATATTTTTATTCTATTAGGTATTATTTTATATAAATTTGTAGTATTTATTGAAATTAATGAGAAATTGGGTGTTAGTTGAATTTTTAGTGCTATAATTAAAATTAGTAAGAATTAGGTATTAGCTCTCTAAAGCGCTAATTACTCGCTAAATTTTAATTAGTAAAAATTTTAACTAATTTGGATTAGTGACTTCTTTTTTCCCTTTGAATTAGTTAAATTTTACTAATTGTATAGTAAAATTTTTTCTAATTCGATAGTAAATTTTTTTTTTGCTACTATTAATTAGTTAAAGTTTACTAATTCAAGAACAAAAAGTGAGTATAATTAATTCAAATTAGTTAAAATTCAGATTTAGAAAGCTAATACATAATTCTTGCTAATTTTCCTCGATTTTTAGTGCTAATTATAATTAGTAAGAATTAGATATTAGCTTTCTAAATCTGATTAAAACACAGAAAATTAAAAGGCATTAAAATTAGCTGCAACGCTTCAATTTTACTTATTTTAATCCATTTTGGTATTAAATTAAGCAAAATTGGATTAAAATAATAAGCATTGCAGCTTATTTTAATAACTTATAATTTTCTGTGAATTAGAAATTTTCAATAATTAAAATTTTTACTAATTTAGTAGTTTTTATTTAAGAAAAAAAAAAAAATTCGTAAAAATAGAAGAAAGTTAAAAGTTAATTTTAATCAATGTGGGCAATAACAAAACATTGTTTAACGAATACATTTAATTTGAGAGCTTTTAGATTCAATTCATCCAATCTAGATCTCTAATAGGATTATTGGATTAAAGTTTGTAAATGTGTGCGCGAGAAAAGCGTTGAGGATAAAGGATAAAAACGTGATAATCCACGTATAGAGATACTTAAAAAATAATCTTCGTAATATTTTATAAATCAAAAAATATGTATACAATTACGAGGCCAAATTATTTATTTATTTTTTTTTTACACTGGAGAAAAAAAATTTAGTGTTTGCAACAAAATTATTTGGTTAGGCGATTTTGGTTCTTGCAATAAAATTTTGGTTGACTGAAACAAAAATCGTAGAGTTATCTCAACCAAATATTTGGTTATGCCAATAAAATTATTTGGTTGAATATTTTTAAATTCCAACCAAAATTTGGTTACCACAACAAAATAATTTGGTTATCACAACAAAATAGTTTGGTCTAAAAAACCAAATGATCGTTTGTTGTCCTAACCAAAATTTTGTTGCGACAACCAAATAATTTGATTCGCTCTCAGCTCATAGCTTAAGAGGTAACCAAACATTTTTGTTATGCCAACAAAAAACACTCAACCAAATTTTTTGATTGACTCAAACAAATAGTTTGGTTACTTAAATACCAACAAAATTATTTTGTTGGCCCAACCAAATTTTGGTTGCTCTGACTAAACATTTTTCTCAGTGTATAAATATTATGAATTAATTTTTCATTATTGAAGTGAAACTATTAGATTAATAAATAAAAGAAAAAGGAAATTTCACTGCAAAAATAGATATTTTCTTGGTATTTTAAAACAAGATGTTAAGATGGAAATGGTATCTTCCATCTTAAAATAAGACACTTTATATAACTAAAAAGATACTACCCAAAACATCTTTTATTAAGACACTTCTTTTTGTAGTGTTGTAATAATTTAATGTATATATGTCGTAATACTAGTGAAATTTGTCGGACATAACGTAGAGGATTGACCGAAATATTTGACAGTGTTTATATATATATATGCTATATAGAGATGAATTGAATGTTAATAAGGTCTCTCTGTTGGTTTGTTGTTACAGATGGCGAAGCATCGTACGAAATGCAGGGACCAAATTTCCTGACGGAACCTGCATCGCGCGTGGAATTTACTAACGTGAGTGGCGGCAGAGTGGACTGCATCGTTAGAGGAAATCCCGAGCCAACTGTGGATTGGTTGGCTGCTGATGGCGGAAGTGTGGTCACCATTCCAGGTATAAGGCATGTTCTCGGGAATGGAACCGTTCACTTTCCAGCTTTTGAGGCCGAGGCTTTTCGTCAGGATGTACATTGGGCAATTTATAAATGTTCAGCAATCAACAGCGTTGGTGCCGTCGTCAGCAGGGATGTCACAGTTAGAGCAGGCAAGTATATACCTGTAAAATTCTTCCTCGTTAAATACTCACCAAAACCACATTGGCTCGACATACCAAGAGAGAGAGAGAAAGCTGACTGTTATTGACATTCTCCAAACTCTTTCTGCTGCTGACACATTCATTTTTTTCCATTCACTACTATTACAATTTTTTTTTAAAGTCAATATAGTTACATTATTTTTCACCATCCATTTTCATCAGCTTTCTTCTTTTTTTCATTTATTTAACGCACTATCAATATTTTCTCAAATTTTTAAAAACGATGTATTTCGTTTTAATCTCAACTAATGGTATTTGTCAAACAATACTTCTTTGGTTTTTGAAACTATGTACAATTTTTTTTCCACTTTTCTAAATTATGTTTTCTTTGTAAAGGTACTTGTTATTTTAAAAAGAATTTTCTTATTTTGACAATTTCAAATAGTGAAGAGAATTAATTAAGAATTTTTCCTGAATAGGAAATTTTCAAAAAATTCTTATATTTTTATGGAAATATATTACTCGAATAAGTTTTATCAAGAGTTGCCAGAGTCAAAAATTATTCTTTTTCAAGAATTTAAGATATCAATGATTTGTTTCCTCTGTCGGTTTATTTAAAATTGCTTTTAAAGTATCGTTTCGCCTTACGTTTTTCATTTGAAGGGGTTCGATCTCTTTCAACTTGAAATCACACCAAAGTCACTTTGGTGCAAAAAAAAATGATTGACTATATCTATATATGAGAATTCTGTCGACTTTGCATTTCCCTAAAGTTTCAAGCTTGAAAAACTTATAAAGTTATGAATGACAGTATAAATATATATATATATAGAGAAAGAATAGTGTAGGGCCTTTAAAAATAAAGTTTCGACCAAGTAAACGAACCGGAAATTTCTCCTTATCGTGATAACACGGCCATGAATCATTTCGCGAACACTGCAACTTATATATAGCTTTTCGAATTCATGTCTCGATCTTTTTGCAACGTCAGCTTTTTGGCTCGTCTTCACTGAAGCGCTTGATATATTTCATGCGCGCGCGCTCGCGAGCCGGCTCCCTTGTGTATAAATGCAAAGCGCTAAAAAACACCTCTCACGGAAAAGACAATCTCTCTCCTTTAAAAGTAATCTAAGCCGCGCTAATAAAATTAAAAGCGAAAGCTGACAGCTTTTAAGCTCTATAAATAACAACACTGTATTAAAAAAATAAAGAAAAATGTAAGAAATTAAATTTCTTTTTTTTTTTAAATAATTTATTGTGGGCAAATTAAAAAAGAATATGATGAAAATAGTTTGTTTTTTTTTTCAAAAATTGGTATTAATTTAAAAGTAAAAACTAAATATTGTGAACGTGGAAATTTACAAATTGTTATCAATTAAAAATAGATAGAATATACGATTTTTTCAAATAGCATCAATTTTTAATTTTAGAATCCAATATTTTTTTTCTAATAGTATATACTATAGACAAATATCTCGTATCTTCGTTATATTTGATCCGATTTCGGAGTTTATTTTTATTCATTATTCTGTCAGAAACTGACTTTTTTACTTGTAAAAAATATAACAGAATTTATTCATTTATCAATAACGTACTTTTAATATTGATCCTATAAATATTTAGAAACAATTTGTCTGACTTAATCACTGTTTTATTATTTATAACAGAATTACAAGAATTTAATTATTTTTGTTGTCTGACCGAAACCGACTTTTACTACTGATGACAAAATTATACTCAATATATAAAATTTTACTAAGTTATTTATTGCATAATTTTTTTAAAAATCCGCCTGTCTGACTTTAAAGTACTTTTGCTACTGATAAAGTATTTCTCGGTGTGATTTTTAATTAATATGTATTTTTAATCTACTGATAAAAAAATAAAGAAAAAATTTAGGTACTTTTACTACTGAAAGTAAAAATCGGAAGATTTGGTAACACAACTTGTCTGACTAAATCACTACTTGACTACTTATTCTAGAATTACAAGAATTTAAACATTTTTGTCTGACTAAAAAGGACTTTTACCACTGATATCAAGATTTTAAAAAAAATTAAGTGTTGTCTGATTGAAACTGACTTTTACTACTGTCTACCAAACAGAAGAATTTAGTCTGATTGTAACACACTTTTACTACTGACACTTAAATTTTACGAGATTTTAAAACAATTTGATCGATTATAAAAAATATATTTTACTACTTATAACTGATTTAGAAGAACATAAACTGTTTTGTCTGACTGAAACAGTCATTTACTGAAAAACAAAATTATATTTATTAATAATTTTAAAAATAATTAACAATTAAATTTTTTTATAATTATATTAATTAATAATTAAAAGTTTATAAAAATTAATTTTATTTATTAAAGTATAATTTTGTATGTTTTGTCTGACCAATCATATCAAAGAAATAAAACAGTCGTATTTTTCTACTGAAAATTACAAAGTCTGAAATAACTAGTCCAAATAAAGTTACTATTTATTTATATAATTAAAAATTTCCATCATTTTATCTAAAACTTACAATTAGTAAATAGTTTATCTTTATTTTATTTTTTCTTCTAGTATTTATTTTTAAATGCATGTTCACAAAATATTACAATCGATCATCATTATCATCATCATGAACCCTTAATTAATTCTTTGTACAGGCAAAGTTGATCTTTAGTCTCGTAAGTTATATTACACTTTTCTCGTTTCATGCAAAGGGGGGTTATATTACAAGAGTTTTGCTCTTAGTGAAAATTCGTTGCACCATCAATCTATAAATACCCCAGCGAAAATAGAATCCAATTTTTTTTTTTGGGATAATTTTTATTCATCTTATTGTCGAATAAAGTGCTTGAAAAGTTTATTTTTTCTTTTTCTCTACCAAAAAAAAGAGGCCACGGTTCTACGATTGCGATTACGTTAATTAAGGGTGAAAAATGTGATCGCTTGCGGTGCGCGCAACTAAGGTTTCAAGTGTCATTGACAGCGCTACTTGCTTGGTTCGTGAAAGGGAGAGGGGTGGGTGGGGGAGGGGGGGGGTTAGTTGACGCTTTGTTTTTGCGCAAACTCAACTTCTAACATAATTACGGCAAAAGTTCCGACCTTAAATTCCTGTGGTAGTTTGAGAGACGCCGCACTTCACGGGGATATCGAGGATTCCGAGTAACCGTCGACCACCATCTTTCGACTTTAATTAAGAAGCATAGATCGATAGAGATAATTAATGCAGTTGAGAAGTTTTAACCTCTTTTGGAAAAAATAAATTCATCTTTCTTTTTTTTTTTTTTTTTTGCTTCGATATTAATCCCATTTCAGTGTGTTTTTTTTTGTACTTGTAGAATCAGAATAGCTGTAAAAAAAAAGTTTTAGAAATTTTTTTTTTTTGGGAGAAAAACTCGTATATTAATTATTTTAAGTGTATTTGAAATATTCTGAAATATTTGTCAAAGAAATTAATTATTAGCGACGAACTTTGAGAATTCTTTAGCGTGAGTTTGATTAGTCAGAGGATAAACTTTTCCGAAAGATATTGCTCTATACCCAAGAGGAATTGAACTAACAAGTTTAAAGATTTATAATGAAGTTAAAGTGGTGGACTTTTTTCATGTACTGTTTTAATATATTAAATATATATATATATATTATTATATTTTAATTTTTTGCGCAATGATTTTATTTAATGGGTGTTTAATTTTAGTATTTGTTCAGTATTTTTTTAGTACTAGTTTAGTATTAGTTTACTATTAGTTTACTATTATTTTAGTACTACTTTAGTATTAGTTTAGTATTTTTAATATTTTTTTAGTATTGGTTTAGTACTAGTTTAGTATTATAGTTTAGTATCGGCTTAGTTCAAAAGAAGTAGATGTCCTGGAATCTTATTTATTTATTTTAGTAGTAAAAGTAATTTTCCGTCAGACCGAGTGATTTAATTTTTACAAATCCTGATGTATCAGTAGTAAAAATGTATTTTTGAAAATCAAATTTGATTTCGAATTATAATTATTTTTTTTTAATTATTTTTTCATATGAATTAAAATAGTACATATTTTTTACTATTCAGTATAAATAGAAAATAAATAATAAATAAATATTGTACCCCACATTTTTAATTATAATTCATTTTAAAAATCTCAATTTGAAGATTTATAAAAAAAAAAAAAAATCTATAGCATCCTCCTTGTGGTTTTAAAAATATTTTTTATGAATGTCTTTTGGAAATTCAAGTAGATTTTAAAATGTCAGTAATGTCGCATGACGGGACATGACATTGCATCGTGTTTCTAATCGAAATATTTTTTAAAATAAAGAAAAAAGAGAGAGAGAAAATTTTTTTTTTCTGTAGGTATATCTCTGCGCGCTTCTTAAACGACATGACGGTTTGGGAGATGCGTCTCTCTTTTACATATTTCACGGTTTGTAAATATTACTCCCGATGTATACGCGAAAGGTCTTTCGAGTTTATGCTTGGCTTGGTTGCCGCGTAACCGAGGCCACGATGTGGAGAGCAGCAAACTCACCGAGTTTTTACCCCATTCCGGAGTCTGAGTGCCTCGCTTCGCTGACTCTCGAAACGGGTTGCGAACCCTATATATAGCACACTATACATTTCTCTGTACTACTCTGACTTAAACTCAACCCGTCTAAAACCTAGCCCCTCTTCCACCTTTTCTCCTATACTTCTCGTTGCTGCACCACATCCTACCTAACCAGTCTTTCTCAACCCCCCTCTCTGGCACCCAGAAACCCAGACCATCAACCTTACGTGCCTTATGTGTATTTCTCTCTCTCTCTCTCTCACACACTGACACACACATATATTTTTACCTTATTTTTCTCTCTTAGCACTGTTCCTAAGTGCACGTGAGAGAGATCAGAATTTACTATTTTTAATGCTTTCTCATAAAAAAAGTTTAACTACGAGGTTACCTTTTTTTTTTTATACACAAGAATAACAATTACTTTTTACTGAAAGTAATTTGCTGATGAGAAAAGAATAATATAGAAAATGGGAATATAATTATATTTATAATATTATTAAAAAAAAAAAAAAAAATAACAAAGGGAAATTATTTTATTTTTAATTAAAAAATTAGAACACACCAAAGAAGTACGTAATATAACCTCAATATCAAGGTAGTATTACATGTAAGATTCGTAATATAACGTTGTAATATTACAGTAATCTTACAGTGATCTTAAAATGTCCGCCTCAAGGTAATATTACCGGTAATGTTACTGTAATATTACGCGCTAATATTAAGGTAATATTACAGTAATATTGCAGTAATATTATACCGTAATATTAAGGTAATATTACAGTAATATTGCAGTAATATTATACCGTAATATTAAGGTAATATTACAAGAGAATATTACAGTAATATTATGGGAACATTTCTTTACGAAAAAAATCTACCCATCCAGGGAATCGAACCCCGAACTCAAAGCACACGAGTCCAGAGTTTTACCAACAAGCCAAATTGACTTATAATATATTTACGTTTTTTATGCTTTATGAATAACTCAAATCAGTCTGTAATATTACCGTTAATATTACAGTAATATTCCCGGTAATATTACCTTGAGGCGGACATTTTAAGATCACTGTAAGATTACTGTAATATTACAGCGTTATATTACGAATCTCACGTGTAATATTACCTTGATATTGAGGATATATTACGTGCTTCTTGGGCAGAAAAAACAAAATGATTAAAAATAAGTCAATTTTTATTCAAAAAGCAGTTTTTTATTCAATTTTTAGGCTTAAAATAATTTTATGAAGGTTAAAATTATTCTTTATGTAAGTGGTTGTTTCAGTCCAGAGTATGGGCTAAAATCAAAATTGAATTTTTATAGTGAAAATAATTAACTCTTATCTTGATAGGAAAATAATCTTCTTTTGATATAACGTTATTATTTATTGAAATATTAATATTAACCGAAAATTTTGTTCTCTTTTCACTCGGTGTATAAATTAAAAAAAAAAGAAATATATATATATATATATATATATATATATATAGGCAAATCCACAAAACTTTTAACTTTCAAGAAAAAAAAATTTCTTTTTTTAATTTGCAGGCACATTGATGTCACATTGTATACACGTTTAACTACATTTTAGCACTACAAATTCATATGCGTGATTCATTTTTAGCTCACGCTGTCAATGTTTAACTCTTTAAACTCTTTAATGTTAATAAATTACATATAAAATTGAAAAATTCAATTTTTTTTTTATTTTTGATATCGAAGTGGTTACCAAAGTATTTTCGTCCTCTGAACACGATTCTTGCACCTAAATTTGCTTAGCACGTCAGAATTTTGAGAAAAGAGGGGGTAAAGACTCCAAAAATGTGTTTTCAGCATATTCTTAACTTAATAAAATTTATTTCACTCAAAAACCTTAAGCGTCGTTTTTGTGTTCAAATATATAGGTATGAAAATGTTTCGATCACACCATAGATTGACCTGTTTAAAGCAAAAATGCACTTGTGCCTTTCAAAAATGTATAAATTTAAATGAAATCACGATTTTTATTATCATCTTTAAATTGTCGCCACACGAATACGAATTAGAGGCACATCATTGAAGAAGGTCGTAAAATTTTTGTTTTTTCATCACCTTTTTTAGAAATGCATTGAACTTTTATTTTTATCCAACGCCGTAATAGATATTTTCATAAAGAAGACGTTCAATTGAATTTTTTTTTAAAAGTCCTATCACTCAATCAAACCGTCCGATTCTTAGTTTTAGTCGTGGCACACTAATGAGATAGTGCAAATTTATTTGACAAAATATGTCTGTTAGATATTTCTATATAGTATAGCTGAAGTGATATTTTACACGCCGCAAAAATAAAAAAACGTTAAGAATATAAACTTTTTCAAGAAATTCAAATCGAAATTTAAGCATTTTTTCACTTTTTAAACTTATAAAACTAATTGTCAAATAAATATTTTGTTCTAATACTGTACATAAATGTTCCTTTGTATATAATTTAGCAAAAAAAAAAAAAAAATGATACCCAAAGTTTTAATTAAAAATAATTCAGATTTTTAACGACAAGATTTCCACTATTTGGGCCAAAAGTGTGTTGAAAAAAATTTTAATGAATTTTTATGAAACTTGGTATCTTAAGGTTTTCAGGGTCGCTGATTATGAACCTAAGGTCGGTTTTTCAAAATTCAAAATGGCGGATCCAATATGGCGGACGACAATTTGAATATATAATGCAATTCGCTTGAAAATGGGTACTCGGGGGTTTTTGGGGTCGCTGATTACGAATCCCATGTTAGTTTTTTAAAATTCAAAATGACGGATCCAATATGTCGTACGACAATTTGAAAATATAATGTAATTCTCTTAAAAATGGGTATGATGTCTCATTCGTAATCAGCGATCCCGAAAACCCCCGAGTAACGAGTTTCGAGCGAATTGCATTAGAATTACAGATAGACGTCCGCCATATTGGATCCGACATTTTGAATTTTGAAAATCTGATGTCATATCCGGAATCAGCGACCCCGAAAACCCCTGAGTAACGAGCTTCAGTCGAATCCGATCAATTTTGAAAAATTTTCCGCCATAATGGATCCGCCATCTTGAATTTTAAAAAACTGATATCAGATTCGTAATTAGCGACTCCGAAAACCCCTGAGTAATATTATCGAAAAATCGATAAATTTTTATATAATATATATATATATATATTTTTTAGAGTATTTTTTACTTTCCTCTTCGATTGAGAATTTTCGATTATTATTAGACAGTTTTAAAGAGAGAAAAAATATTTCTGTTTTTATTTTTGCTAATATTATTTATTGTTATCTAAATATCTCTAAATATTCAATTTATTATTTAAAAAAAAGGATTGATACCCACATTTGTGAAATGTACCATATTTATAAAAATTAATTTTTTGTTTTTTTTTTTAATTATAAATGCAAAATTTAAATATAAAGTTATTTAACTGTGTATAGAACTTATTACTCGTCAGAAAAGTTTATATTCATTTATAGTGTTACGTAACACGTTACTCAGTGACTTGATTTTAACATAGTTTAATTCGTGTATGTGTCTGTTTCAGTGGTGCACCAACGTTATGGACCGGAAGTACAAAGTCCCGGAGGTTTCCTGGGCAACAATGTACTTATGCGATGCAATGTGCCGAGTTTTGTTCGAGATCACGTCAGCGTTACTTCTTGGCTTCAGGAGCCATCCTTCAACATTTACCCATCCACTATAAGCGGTATGTTGCCTATAGTATATATATATATATAAATTAGTTAATGAGACGAATCGACGTAGTAAGAGATAATTCGAGGATACGGGTCACATGGGATATCTGAATACATTTGCGAGAGAGCATCGACGAGAGATTATTCTCATCTCTCTCTCTCTCTCGCTCTCTCTCTCTCAGTTCACTGGTACAGCAAATGTACCATCTTGTCTATGTATGTGTGATTTAACAGAATAAGGTTCCTGTGAGAAAGTTTCCCCTAATTCTCACCACACCATTTCGTGATTATTTGAAAATGAATCTTCTTAGACTCAGCATGAGAAGAGTATTATAGTTTGCACGTAACGTTGTTTCAAAAAGTGCTTTTCGTGATTGATACACGGGAGAATCTTGTAAATTGAAACTTAATTCATAAAGGAGTAGAAAATTATAATTTAAATAAAAATATTTTATTCATGTAGCAAAGGGGGAAATTTTACTTACGATAAGTGCATGCTTTTTGTAATTTCAAATTTTTCACTATAAACTTTCATAGAAAAATAGACATAATTTTTTTTGAAGGAAAATCTTTAATTTTCTTGTCTTTTTTCGTATATCTTACATAAAAGGTAAATTAAAATTTTAATAAAAATTTATTTCAGCCCAATGAGATTCAAATACATATATATATTATTGCTCCAAATAAAATTATTTGGTTCAAGTAAATATTTTTATTTATTTATTTTTTTTTTTTGAGTATTTGAATTTATTTTTTCGTAATTATTATAATATTGATTGAATATTATTTACCTAAAGAAATTATTGTATTGTATTTATCATTTGAGTATAAAATCCAAGTAAATCAAATAATACACTGAGAAAAATGATCTATTAAACATTATACTTTTTTCCTTTTAAATCAAGTCCTTTAATGGTTAAAAGAATTAATTTTATTATAAAAGGAATCTTTTAAATTTAAAAATGTTGGTCGTTTGTTGACAAAACAAAAAGAGTTTGACGAATAAAAGATTTCTTTTGTTTTTCTAATGAAATCCTTTTATGACATAAAAAAATAATAATTTAAAATAAAAATAAATTAATAAAAAATATTTTATTAGTATTAATTTATATTACAATTATGCATTTACAATAAATTACTTTCATTAATTTTAATTTGTTTTAATTTTTAACAATCAAAGTACTATTTTTAAAAATAAAATTTTTTATTCCTTTACTGTTTTTATTACAGAAAATGGTATTACTTTCAATGTTTTAAAACTAATGACCATCGATGATTTTGTAAAATATAACCTTAATATTTCCATGGGTTCAAAAATTTTAATCCAAAAATTTTTCGAAATTAAAAGTGAAAATAATTTCCGTGAATTGAATTTGAAAAATTCACTTGTAATTTGTAAAATTAAACCAATGAAAAAGGACATTTTTACTATTTTTATCATTTTTTATCTTTATAAATTTTATTTACTTTAGATTGAAAATTTTCAAATTTAATTTTATAATTGATCTCTCAAAACTATGAAAAAAAGGTATAAAAAAATTAATATAAAATAATATAAATTATGAAAATTTTCCGAGTTTTATGTAAAAAACTATTAACTTATTAATAATAATAAATATAAATAATTTAATTTCATTTTATTTAAAATTAATAAATGACAGTAATTCTTTAATTATTAACAATACTAATAAATAAAAAATTAATAAACTATTTATTTTTATTTCTTTAAAAATATTTCCTTTAAATAGTAAACTAAATTCTTTTAATAATTAAAGGATACACTTTAAAAGACTTTCCTTTTGTCCTAAAAGGAAATCCTTTCAAATAAATATTGAAAGGAAAATCCGCTTATGATAAAAGGATTCTTTTAAACTTAAATAGATTGTTTTCTCAGTGTAATAAATAAATAGGCAATTTGAATATTTTGAAGATTAAAATTATAATTTCTAATCATAGGATATTATATATGAAATTAGAAAGTTATTAAATTGTAATATGCCATCGGCTCTTTGTCTCTTGTAAAATATACTGGCAGTTAATAAGATTTTCATCTGCTTGCAGATGGCAAGTATCACATGCTGCCAAGTGGAGAGCTACTGATTATTAATATTTCACGGAGTGATGTGCAAATGACTTATCGATGTAGAACGCATAATCGATTGACTCAGGAAACTGTCGTCAGTAATAATTTTGGCCGAGTGCAATTGACGGGTGAGTAGATATCAAATTTTGATATAATTTATTGATAATGTTTTACATTGAAATTTTTTTTTTTTAATGTAAATCTATTTAAATTTTTACTATTTCATTTTTTTTTTAATAAATTTTTTTTTCTCTTAACGATGAAATTAACGATGTGTAACATTTTATAAATTGTAAATTCATTTTGAATTTAAATTTTAAGTATTTTTTAATATTTTTAATATTTTCGCATCGTTTATTTTCATTATTCGTGAACATAACTTTAACTGATATTATCAATTTATTCATAATATGAATAATTATGATATAATAATATTATATAATTTCGGAGACGAAGAGTATAAAATTATTTCATTTTCGGGGCTAAAATATTATTTATTGAGAACGAAATTTAATTATTGCTAATCATGAAGAGTTTCTAATACATATATATATATTTATATAAATATGTATATAAAAAGAGAAATTGAAAATTGCATTTTGCCGAAGGGCAAATGTATTTCAATGATCAGTCGATTTCAATTAAATGTATACTTCATTGACGACACATCCAACTGTTGACCTCTGCGTGGCATATTTTGCTGGTCGCATGTCGCCCTCGGCATTTGTATCGAACGCACATAAAGCATCCCCCCATACATGTATGTATATATATATATATATATATTGTCCATCGCAATATGTACTCCCTTGTCCTGGGACTGTGTCCCGCAATTAGTCTCATTCGTGTGCTAAAGGTTGAGTGAGAGAGAGGAAATTGCCTGGCGAAGGGAAAGGCGTCTTGGTTAACAGGATTCATATATTGCATCCGCTGTGAAACGGCAACATAGTATAGAGGTACAAAATATAAATTAGTACTTTATACTTGGAATTACACCTTTTGGACAAAAGAGTTAATCTGCTGTGAAAATCACTTCTATTTCACAGGGATTTATAGTAAATTAACTGTTGTTTTTTTTTCAAAAATTATTTTTGCCTTTTTTTTTAATAACGAAATTAAATTAAAGATAAGTAATTTTATAATTTTGGGGAAAAATATTTAATAAAAATAATTTAGAATCGATAAAATAATGATAATATTAATAATTATAGAAATGAACAAAGAATAATTAATTAAAAACCGTATTAAATTTAAATATCAGTAGTAAAAGTCAACTGCAGTTAGACAAAAATTTTTCCGCATATAATTTTGTTATCATCAGTAAATGTCATGCCAGTTAAGTGGGACATTACTTTTACTAATAATTTTATTGTTAGTAGTAAAAGTCAGTTTCAGCGAGAATGACATGTAACATGTAACCAAACTCTACTTCAGGATGATTTTTTAAATATTAGTAATTTTTAATTTAAAGGTCAACTGTAGTTGAAAAAGTGAATAAACTCAATATTCAATCTTAGAATCAGTAGTACAAGGTCGTTTTAGTCAGGCAGAAGGTAACTCCTGTAACATAAAATAAGTAGTATAAACCAGATTCAAGCAGACAGAAAGTTTTAAATTTTCTATTTTTAGTAACAGTAGAAAATGAAAGTTCTTGTCAGACAGAAATTAATTTTTTTCCTCTAATTTTACTCGGAGTAGTAAAAGTCAATTTTAGTCGGACAAAATAATTTTTAATCTTGTAGTGAAAAATTCTTTTTGTTTAAAAATTAGTAGTACAATCCCGTTTTAGTCAGGCAGAAGGTAACTCCTGTAACATAAAAAAAGTAGTATAAACCCAATTCAAGCAGACAAAAAGTTTTTAATTTTCTATTTTTAGTAAAAGTAGTAAAGGAAAGTTCTTGTCAGACAGAAATTAATTTTTTTCTTCTAACTTTACTCGGAGTAGTAAAAGTCAATTTTAGTCGGACAAAATAATTTAATTTTTAATCTTGTAGTGAAAAATTCTTCTTATTTAATAATTAGTAGTACAATCCCATTTTAGTCAGGCACAAGGTAACTTCTGTTACATAAAATAAATACTATTTAATCAAAATTCAGGCAGACAGAAAGTTTTAAATTTTCTATTTTTAGTAGAAGTAGTAAATGAAAGTTCTTGACAGACAGAAATTAATTTTTTTCCTCTAATTTTACTCGGAGTAGTAAAAGTCAATTTTAGTCAGACAAAATAATTTTTAATCTTGTAGTGAAAAATTCTTCTTTTTTAAAAATTAGTAGTACAATCCCGTTTTAGTCAGGCACAAGATAACTCCTGTAACATAAAGTAAGTAGTATAAACAAAATTTAGGCAGACAGAAAGTTTTAAATTTTCTATTTTTAGTAGCAGTAGAAAATGAAAGTTCTTGTCAGACAGAAATTAGTTGATTTTTTGTAATTTTGTTCGAAGTAGTAAAAGTCAATTTTAGTCAGACAAAACAATTTTGACTCTCTTAGTTTGAAAATTAGTAGTACGAGTGTTTTTCAGTTAGACATAGCGAATTAAACTTCTGTAATTATGAAATTAGTATATATACAAAATTACTACTATCAGTAGTAAAAGTTGCCTTTAGCCAGACAAAATCATTAGTAATTTAATAAATTTTCATAAGTAGTACAAGACAGTATCAGTCAGACAAATAATATAAATTTTTGTTTAGCTAATTTAAAATAATTTTAACAAATTTATTAATTAAAAATACATCATACAAAAAATTATTTACAAATTTAAATTAGTTAAAATTTTGGAAAAATTTAAAGTATCGTTTTACATATATTCATGTAAGTTAAGAGGGGTAAATAATATTGTAAATAAAAAGCAAATAAAAAGTTTCATTACTTCCTGGAAACACTTGCGGGAAGTTTATCTTTGCAACGTCTAAAAGTTAAAAAAAAATCCCCTCGGAAATAGTCGATTTCTGAAAGTAAATTTTTTCTCCCGATAGATAAAAGGGTAAAAAGTTTCGTGGTTTTAGAAAATGGTGGGTAACTGCAGTTACCTAATTCAAAGTTGAGCCAACTGGAGTTTTATATGCTTCTCTGACTCTCTCTCTCTCTCTCTCTCTTTTTTTTTTATCGAGTATCATAAATTTGAAAGTAGAATTTCAAAAAATTAGAATATATCTTTTTTTTCCTACGTGTGTATTATTTACTTTACTTAATTTTTTATTTTTTTTTTTAGAGGTAAAAAAGTTTTTTTTTTTTTGAATAATTATGAAATGTGTAAAAAAATTATAGTAATATATTTTTTTCCCACTTGGAAAGATTCGCCGGAAAGTGCGCCCCCTGGAGGTTCAATTAGAATTCCGCCGGAACTTTCGACAGAATTCTAACGGAATTCCGATTAATTTTTTTTCCAAATTTTTAGAGTTCTAATTCCGTTGGAACCCCATTGGAAATTCTTTGGAACTCCGATGGAATTCCGACGGAATTCTGATAGATTCTCCAGGGGGCACTTTCCGGGGAATCGTTCCAAGTGGGTTTCTTTGTAAGATTATTGAATTAGTTTATAAAGTTTGACGACAGGGAGATTTATTTTTTAATTTAAAAGAGAGAAAATTTTCTGTGATAAAGTAGAGTGGGGGAGAAAAAAAATGACAAAAAAAAAAAAAACATTGGAAGAATTGGTTGTCAGAAGAAGAGGGAAGAAGGTGCGAGAGGAGTACTTGCTGTTAAAATAAGTAACGCGAAGGTGATTAGGATGCAACTTGGAGTGGCTTCGGTTTCTCAGTCAGCAGGCACGTTTCAGGGTGGGTGTAGAGACGAAACGCGGAACTCAAGTATCGCATGTAGAGAAGCATCATTAGTTAGCCTGACTCAAGAGAGGAAATTCTCTTTTATTTTTTCGTCTTCGCACACTTTTTTCCCTTCTTTTTTATTTCATATAGATATATAAATACAAACAGGTATCGCAGGCCTTCCTTGCCAACTTTTTTCTCTCTCGCTCTCTCCATTTTTTTTTCTCTCTCTCTCTCTTTTCCCCAAGCTGCGGTATACCGACGTCTAGAAATAAAGACTTTAACTCTGCTTACTGTTATTCTTTTCACGGACCGAATTGCTAGATTGAGGCTGTATTACGCCGAGCTTGGATATTGCTTCCGACGTTTTCTGACTCGGCAGTAATTAAGAAATAAAACTTCGAAATAGAAGGAAACGTTGCAACTTTTAGAAATGGGATATATTAAAGTTTTTAATCAATTTTGTTTACGAGAGAAGAATCATTAAAAAATACGTGTGTTTTTTTTTCTCTTATTTCGCTGAAAAATTTTTCTTTTCCTTTTTGGAAGGGGGAGAAGGGGGTTCTTATTCTACTCAATTATGGAGCTTTTCATTTGCTTGCTTGTAGAAATCCTTGAAAGTTTTCATACTTGCAATAAGTGGAGAAATTGAAAACCACTGAAGGATGTGATTCTAAAAAGGGGAGAGGGGGTACTTTCTTTTTTTTATTTTTTCATATCATTTTCTTCTATATCTCGTTGCATTTACTGAATATGGGTTTAATTAAACTTGAAAGTAAATTTTCCTCTTTCAAATTGGTCTCTTTTTTGGAAAAAAAATTTCTATTTGTTTTTCTGTTTTCTATTTATATATAAGTGATAATTAAACATGCAAAATAATTTGCGAAATTAATTTACTTTTTATAATGCAACTAAATTGCAAATAAAATACAAAATTATTTGCTTTTTCATATCTATAAAATATTAAATTCATATAACAATATAATGTTTAAAACCATATTTAATTTAATATGAACATTATTATTTTATATATATATATATATATATATATATATTTTAATTTTAAAATATTACATAAATTGTGATAATTTATGTAATTCTCTTATTCGCTTTTACGAGCGAATAATATTATATACGTATAAATGTTGAATATCGATGTCAGTTGAATTTCATCCCAATGTCAAATGCAGAACGTTTCCCTCATGCAGTTGTGCAATTTGAAAGATACGTTTATGTATGTTTCTCTGTTTCGCATGTTGTAAAAAGAAATAGGTTCATTGTTGAAACAATTTATTATGTGAAAAGAAAAATACCTTTTCTGGATATTTTTATGTTATTTACTGATTTTATACACATAT